ATTTCAGAACGGGTCAGCAACTTTAGATATTTAGGATCGATCATAAACCATCGAACTTAAGAAAAGAATGAATTTAGGCAATGTTAATAAATTATTCAGTTCTTGGTTGCTGTTCTAGGATCATCATCAAATCAGGATCATCCTGACCACAATCATCCTACCAGTAATCATTTATGGTAACGAAACGTGGCCCAACTTACGTTACGGGACCAAAAGAAATTGAGGCTTTTCAAAAATCAAATTCTTTCGTAAAATGTTCGGGTGCAAAACGCGATGAGGAAAACGGGTGTATGGAGAAAACCCCATAACGTAGAAGTACACCGAGTGTACAATAAAACCGGACATCATTAACTTTGTAAAATCACGCCGATTAAGATGGGCTGGTCACGTGGCGCTTATGGGGGTGGATCGAACGGCGCATAAAATACTGATCGGTGTATCGAACGGAAAAAGACCACTGGGTAGACCAAGACGTAGATGGGAGGACAATATTAGGGGGGGGGATCTTAAAGAAATGGGCTACGAAGACTGCGAATGGACGGGGTCAAGCTCGGGGACGAGAACACTGGCGGGATTTGCTATTTGCGGCAATGAACTTTCGAGTTCCTATTGCCAATTAATAATAATAATAATAATAATAATAATAATAATAATAATAATAATAATAATAATAATAATAATAATAATAATAAAATAAATAAATCAAAGAAACGAGCAATAATATAATCATTCTCATACATACACGCGCGGTATTCGAACCGCGACTGATTTCTACTATCATTCGGTGCACTGCTACCACCCACTAACCTCCCAATCCCCACCACCACCTGCTTCTTCGACCTCCTTCCCACTCTACTTTCATCTCTCTCTCTCTCTCTCTCTCTCTCTCTCTCTCTGTCTCTCTGTCTCTCAGTTCACTTCTATACATATATATATATATATATATATACATAGTTCCGAGTAACGCCAACGAAGAAGCATTCAACTCACCCTCCTCTTCCATCACTCTCTTCCCTCCACCCACACACCATCTCAATCCCTCTCTCTTCATTTTAGAGACATACACATACACACAAACGTTGTATATACTTTGTGACTTGGAAACCTCGGGCGTTACAATCCTCGAGCGTTAACGTAGAGAACCAGCCAATCCTCTCTCTCTCTCTCTCTCTCTCTCTCTCTCTTTCTCTTTCTCTTTCTTTCTCCTCTCTCATTCTATCTCTTTTTATCTTCTTTCTTCTCTCCTCTCCTCTCTTTTATAATCGTCTCTTTCTTTCTTTTATCTTCTTTATCCGTTTTTCTCTATCCTTCTCGAATGGATAATCATTCTCTCTCTCTCTCTCTCATAAACATACACACACACACGCACACATTTTTTCTCTGTCGTTTGTTCAGTTTACCGGCCAAAGATTGTTCTCTTTTTTTTTTTTTTTACTCTTTCCTCTGTCTACCTTTGCTCTTCTCTATTATATACATTTATACACATATATATATATACATATATACATATATATCTAAACTGGCTAACCGACGAGCAACGCTAAATGGAGAGTTACGCGTCCTCTCCTACGTTTTTCTGTGGCAAACCAAAAGATTTTCTTACTCTTCTCTTTACCCCTTTTTTATTCGCGATACATATACACATATATATACACAAACGTAATAATAATAAGAAGTCATTACATACAATTTTATCGTGAACGAATAATTGCAATAATAATCGTAATAAAATAAAATATTTGTACTTATAGTTTCAAATGATGTTAAGTAGAAATAATATATATATATATATATATATAAACAAAGTTAATGTTATAAATTAATATGAATATATATTTATGTATAATGTTGCAATGTGAAATTATGCTGATGTGTGTGTATTACAAAAATCGTGAATTAGTTAAATCTGTAATTAATACATACACACATTATACGTATTCGTATAAGAATTAATTCCAATATATATATATATATATATATATATATATATATATATATATATATATTATGTGTTAATTGTTTCTAATCAACGTGTCATATAAAAATGCATCATATGCTGATTATTTTTTTACTTGATTGCGCATCCCAAATAGAATTTCCAACATTATTTCATATAATTTATCAATAATAAAAATTGTAATATAATAAAATATGACAGAATTTACATGGATCAAAATATACCTTTGAATTAGAGTCAACGATATGTAAAAAAAAAAAAAAATGCGTCCGACAAACACAATGATTATACGAAACAAAAGTCATATTAGAACGTTATTATGCATACAATGGATTAAACATGATACGTTATAATTATTTTCTATTATAAAAGTTTAACGATACATTATACATATACGTAAATGTAACGATTGACACGATGAAATTTGTAAATATGTTAATTTATTGTATCTATTCATTGACACTAGACAGAGACAGAGAGAGAGAGAGAGAGAGGTAGGGAGTTCCGATCAACGCCATATTGAATTTGGATGTATCTTAAAAAAGAATCTGAAATTTAAGAGCGTTCTCAATGGCCTTTGTACTTAGGTTGGAACGAGCTGTTCGTAGTCAGCAGGACAAAGAAGAAAGACGACGGGCGGACTAGTAAAAACCAGTTTTTCGGCCATCTTCAGAGTCTCTTCAAGTGTATACACTTCTTCCTCTCTCGGACATCGGAAACTCCTGGTGATTTGACCGTTTCGTGGGATAATCTCATTGTCGCTTTAAAAAGAAAGTCAAGTTTCAACGTTATAGTCGTTAACTTTTTCAGAAAAACTATATCACACTCTTACCCTCTAAGAACTTCTTCACGTTCTTATTTTTGGTCTCTCTCTCTCTCTCTCTCTCTTTTTACTTTTTATTATCTTTCTCTTACTCCTTATACTCTAACTCTTTCTTTCTCTCTTTCTTTCTTTCTTTCTTTCTTTTTACTGTGAGAGAGTTCTTTCACGTACCACGTCATCGACGTAGCACGAGCTACGAAGAATAAGGGAACAAAAGATTCGTTCGCACGAACCGCGTTACAAGATCTTTCTTTCTATTTATCTTCTACCACTATCTTTATTTAACTAACGCCTTCTTATTTCCGATAACATCGTTGCACCTACACATACATCCTCTCTCTCTCTCTCTCTCTCTCTTCTCCACTCCTGCCCTTAGAGTGTATATTTTATATTTCATTTATATCGTTGAAACATCCTTCCCCCACCCCCTTTAGGTTTTATATTAAAAAACTAAACATTTGTTTATAAGAAAATATATATATAGTAAATTTTATTATAAAATAAAATGAATAGTTTGAGATTTATACATGCCCTCTTTTTACAAAAGAGGGTAGTAAATATTTTTTAATTTCGTTTGAATACCTGCACTATTGTAATTTTGTTTGAAGATAAAATATATATATTTTTTTTTTCTTTTCGTTTTAAGACCTTTCAAAGGAATAGGTTTTTATCTAATCTTGAGATAAAGTTACTTTATCGATTTAAGGGATTATATTAGATTTTCTTCGAAAACTATGTAAACGAAAGAGAAAATAATAAATGTGGATAATCGGTGCTCGTAGAGATCCCTTTTTATCTTTTTTTTTTATCGTCTTTGAAGATACCGTTTGAAACTGTGATGAGAAAAATTTATTTTACTATTTCTTGAACTTGAATTACTAACAATTTTGTACAAATTATTTTATATTTTTCATTTTATAATTTTCATAGGAAACCTTATGGAATTTCTTAAATCAATAAAGAAACTCTCTATCTATCTTGAGATTAGATAACCTTCGCTTGGAAGACCTTAAAACGAAGAAACATACTTTACATTTACGGATTTACAGTGATGCAGTTATTATATAGGTAGGTATTTAAATGAAATCGAAGAATATTTTTTTCTATACTTGTGTGTCAAATCTATGTAATTATTTTCTGATGTTTAACTAATCATTTTACGAATAAAGCGAATAACTATCACAAAGTATAGCTTATAAGCAATTCATAAATATATCCTATATTTTCTTATCGATCGTGATCATTTCTAATAACATTCTTAACGTGTATATAGCTTGTAATCTTATCCTTCCCCCTTTCTTGTATTACATATTTAAAAATAAAAGGAAGTATACATAATATATAGATACTTTACATATTTTCCGAATAAATCGAAAATACATATGTAAATGCAATTAAACTGAACGATTAGCTATTTTCAATCCTAAACTCAGTAATTTAGAAATACATTGTAAAATTAACATAAAAGAAAGAAAGAGGTATAATTAAAGTAAGACAAAGTAAGGAGAGAAAGAAGGTAAAGCAAAAGCATTGGAATAACGTCACACGCACAAGCGCGCAACAGCTGTGTCGGCGCCGTAAGATCGCGCGACTCCGTGGAACGCGTGTCGCGTGCCCCACCGTGTACGGCCCTGACGGCTCGCGCGCGTCATTTGTCCTCGTCTCCCACTCCTCGGTACGAGCCGTCACGACCGCCGCCGTCTTCGGCCGAGCAAGATCGTCGCGTGGCGAGCCCTCCCCTCCCGCACACAATTTCACCCCACCACTATCCAACTACCAATACCATTATCGTCGGCGCGCATCTTCCCCCCTCCCTCTTTCTCCCATCCCCCACTCTTCTACCCTTTTCGTCACGCACACGCGCATGCTTACACACATTTATTCACGCGTGTTCGCGCACATATATATATATATGCTATAGCCGAAAGCAACCGCGCTTCGCTTTACGCCGCTTTCGTGGTCGACTTTATCGTCGGGTTACCGTTTACGCGCTCGTATCGCTACGGCGCGTCATTTGTTCGAATAATCCTACCTGTGAGCTGATTCCCCGTGGCGAAAGCTCAACGAATGAATCTTTTAACATCTATAGGGTGTCCTACAATTACTACTAATCCTTACATCTATCTATTTCATTTATATATATATATATATATATATATATATATATGTATATATATTGAGATATTTATTTTTAATATAGTTTTAATAGGTATGCAGGTCTTTTCATTCAAGACGGCGTTTAACTATTGCATTATAATTACAAGTTTGATTGATAAGAGAGGATTCGTTTAAACGTAATAGTAGTAGGTTGTAGATCTAAATTCTTAAATATGTGACATCTATTTTTTTCCTTCTTCACAATATTCATTGCATACTTTACTCTCTTTACGTGTCGTAATTAGCTTCAAGGATACTGAGAAGTTACGTTCTTTTGGATTGAAAAATCGACCGGGCGCCAGTCGACTCTCCTCCTCTGCTGATGACGTCATACATACGGAAAGCCGATTTTTGCTACGGATAGTAGCACGTATGTATGTATGTATGTATGTATTTATATGCTACATATATACTTATATATATCTATATACATACTTGACTAAGCTCGCATCTTCCTATCTCTTGTTAGCTAGATTTCCATTTTTTCTCTCTTTCTTTCTATTTGACTCCGTTTCACGTGTCTTTCACTCGACCTCGAAAAATCGGTGCAACTTATGTTGCATATCCCACCTCACCTCTTCTCTTCTCTTTTTCTCTCTCTTTCTTCCGTGATGTTTCTTTTTCAAAACAACGACTCTCAACCTCGTCGACTTGTGCTAATAATAATGATAAGTATAATCAAGAAGAAGAAGAAGAAAGAAAAGAGTAGTAGTACTCATGTACAACGAAAGTTTCTATTTTCTTTTTTCTTCTTTCTTTCTTTCTTACCTTTTCTCTTTATGTGAACTTGTATCTTAAGCCAATCGAGAGAGACGTGCTCACGAAAACGAGCTTTGTTCATGTTCATCTGTACATGCATATAGATTTTATTCCTTATTCCCTATCGAAGTTGAATTGCGTCATCCTGGAAGATGGACTAGGGGAATAATAATAAATAAAAATAAACAACTACGTCACGTAGTCCGAGAATCATTACCGTAGCAGTGTCACGTACAATGACTCTTACACATACGTGTATGTTACTTACTAATGAATAATATTTATTTGCAATAAATAAATTGTTTGTTTGACGTTTAATATACAATATCGTATCAGTCATAGGAGAACTAAATGATTTTACAATCTGGAGGGACTATTGTTTCTCAACTTGAAATTCGATAGATACAATAGATAAGAAAAAAAAAAAGAAAATGATATAAACAATCGTGGCATTTAACAAATATTACAAAAAGAACGTTATCGAAAGAATACATGCAAGTCTCTCTGTCAATAATTTTGATCGACTCTTCTGTATATCGTATGTTAGATAAATTTATAACTAACTAAAAATGTATTTAGTAATGTCACAAAACAAAGTAAATATTGATTCTTTACAAACGAGTTTATATCAAATGATTGAAAAGAAGAACTTATATAGAAATATTTTCAAAGCATGGTGAAACACAGACACATACACACACATTTTGCTTTATCTTCTCTCTCATCTCATATTTCCATTCCTTCTTCTCTCTCTCTCTCTCTCTCTCTTTCTCTCTTTCCTTATCTCCCACTCTTTCTAGGTAATATATGTGTGTGTGTCGTCGCTTTTATATTCCAACCACTCCCGCACGAGGGCGCGCATTCTATTCCAGATGTTCGGCAATGCCGACAAACTTCCCCCACCACCGAACGATTAGCCGGCGCGGTGACGTGCGAGAGGGATAAGGGTGGGGGGATATTCGTCTGTCTCACGGCTAAAAGACGACCGCGAACGAATGAACGAACAAACGAACAAACGAACGATACCCTTAAAGGATTTTCTTCTCCTCTATTTAGATATACGTTATATTATCTCCATCTTACTTTAGATTACATTTCGTCTATATTCGTCTATTTTCGTCTATCATCGTTTCCTTTCGTTTTACCGAAAAAATCACTTAACAGTCGCGTCATCGTATCGTACGTAGGTAGAGCAACGAACGAAATCAGTTCGTGGTAATCTACTACAAGGAAAAGGATGACGTTAAAGAGCCCAGCAATGGTGGGCGGGGGGTGGGGAAGGGATTGGGAAGTAGTACAGAAAGGGGAGTAGATAAATATCTGAGAGAAGGGGAAAAGAACGTGACGATACGGCACGAGTTCTCTCTTGCAACGTAAATACACACGCGTATCTCTCTCTCTCTCTCTCTCTCTCTTTCTCGCTCTGTCATCCGTTTGAAGGTTCGTAAACGCGTTGACCCTGTAATGAAAACACATTGCCACGTAACGTCGTAACTAATTTATCAAAGCATATCTATCTCTCTTTGTTGTCGATATTTCCTTTTAGAATCGATTGATAAAGTTAGATCGTAAAAGATTAAAAGTTTCTAATTGCTATTTAAAAAGAAAAAAAAAAAATAATCGTCACTAGCTTTGCGAAAGCTCATTGCGTAATGAATGAAACGCGGTCGATAAAACAATTCTCTATTTTATCGACCCATTTTCATTCTCTCTTTGATACCAAACGGATTTAATCGTTTTCGATGAGAACACAGTATATTACGTGATAATTTACAGTTTCTTTTTTCTTTTTTTATCATTCGATCAAATTACAAATTATTTTCTTACGTTTTATATATATACATAATATTTCGTATTTTAAAATTATTTTATCGAATTTTATTCGATACATTTTGTTCTCTTTTGCTTATCAAATTTTCAACAATTTCATTTTTCTCAACAACCTTAATCCCTTTGCTCTTATACGAACTTTGTACTTTATCGTGTATCACCCTTTCTTTATTACGTTCAATAATAATTATAGTTCGAATTGACATTTCGAGTCTTTATATGTCACCATGTAAATTTGAGCTTTCGTATGATATAAAATCTAATATTTTGTTTTTAGTTTTGTTCATTGTTTTGTTTCAAAAAAAAAAAAAAAACAGGAGAAAAAGCAATCAATATCTTTCATTATAAACTTTTATTTGTTAGTCGTTGTATCTCTTTTTTTTTTTTATCTTTTTGAATTTATTTATATGTATGAATGCTTTTTATTTGCGTTTTTTTATTTATTTTTTTTTTTATTATAGATTAAAGAGTTATCACTTTGCAATATACCTGTTGCTACATATACAACGTAGTTCGTAGGGGGACGATTTTCATCCCTGACCTATCACAGTGCATTTATGCGTCAAGCAGGGCGTGACGTACAACGCGGACGAAATTTAAATCTCGTGGGCGTTCTCACGCTACTAGCGTATTGGTTTCCATAGTAACTGGTCATGGTGGGTGGCCATGGTGACCATGATTTCATTGTTGTGACGTCACTTTATGAAAGAACACGTGCTATTCTTTTTCTCTCTCTCTCTCTCTCTCTCTCTCTCTCTTGTTTTTGCAAGTTAACATTTTCCATTAACGATTTTTTCCTCCTGACGTAGTTTTTAACTTTGACGTAATAAAAAATCCGTAAATGAGAGTAAAAGAAAATTGCTGACCTTTTTTACGTAATCCCACGATGGCGACATTCGATGTAACTGAACGTAAATACAGATTACATACATGAAAACATATATATATATATATATATATATATATATATATATATATATATATATATATATATATATATATATATATATATATATATATATATATTAATTAGTTGTATTTTTATGTATATTATATCGAAGAAAAAGAAAAAAAAGGAACGTTCTTATTGTACGCCTTCGCACGACCTTGACATTTTCTTGACATCTTTTGTGATTACTTTGTGACGATGACAATTGTTGAATATGCGTTTCAGCGTAGAACGTCTCTGCCATCTTTCATCGATTTTAATGGTTCATTCAATTTATGCGTGTAGGACGCTTTTATAATGTTCTACGATAATTGTTATCAGCCATATTTAAAATGCATCTTTTAAATTATTCATAATAATAATTAATGAATTTCATTCATATTATGAATAAGATGTTTTTGAAAAGATTTTTTTGAACGTTGCTTTTTATTTTTTTACTTCAAAAGTATTCAATTTCTTTAAATAGACAAAAAGTTAGAATGACCAAATAAATATTTCGAAATTATTATATAAATCTTTTTTTTTTTGTATTGTAAATATAGGTACTGTAAAAATTAAGATTTTAATATTTTCTAAAAATAATTTTTTTTTTTTTTTTAATGACTATTTATGTATTAATTTATAGATAAAATTTAATAATACATATATATATATATATATACATGTAAAGTTATTTCTCATGGATACATATGCGCATGTGTGAACTTTCTTATACATATGATAACCCTTCCCTTCCTAATCGGTAAAATATATATACGAGAATTCGTTGATAGATGGCAGTAGGTATTGGTAAAGTAGTTTCAGATGGCGTAATCGTCGTAAACAGATAACGAGCGTTCTTCTAACTAAACAGTCGTTGCTAACCTCTAACGAAGAAAAATTTTGTAAGGAAACATCAATTCAAGTTATTTATTTAATATCATTTGTATTTTAATAAGTGAAATAAAATGTTGAACATTGGAGGAAGATTGACAAGAATAATTGTTCGAAGTTATGCTACGAAATCCAATGAAATTGGAAATCTTGTTAAAGTAAGTTATCATATATATATATATTAAAAGAGGTTATAAATATATAAGATTTGCGTTTGAATTGAAATGTTGTTATATCATCATTTTATTTATATATGTTTTAATTTGATATTATAAATATAGTCGAATAAAAGAATTGAATTAAGGTTATGTAAAACTTCGTCTTTAATATATGTTTTTCAAGCATAGCAATTTTCATCACAATTAATGATATTTATTATTATATTTTGTTTTGTTAATTATTTACAGAAAAATAAAGTTGTTGTCTTTATGAAAGGCGTACCGGAAGAACCAAGATGTGGTTTTAGTAATGCTGTAGTTCAAATATTTAGAATGCATGGTGTTACGTATGATGCTCATGATGTTCTTCAAGATGAAGATCTTAGACAAGGTTTGTAAAAATAATAATTTATTTGAAACTTTGAATATTTATAAAAAAATATATATATATATATTTCCTACTTACACAAGTCTTGGTAATAGTTACATTAAAATATTATTAACAAATAACAAATTTAGGTATTAAAGAATACTCAAAGTGGCCAACAATACCGCAGGTATTTATCAATGGAGATTTTGTTGGTGGTTGCGATATTTTATTAGAAATGCATAAAAATGGTGAACTAGTTGAAGAATTGAAGAAAGTAGGTATTAAAAGTGCCTTGTTGGAGAAAGAAGATGCTTCTCAAAATGAAGCTACCAAATCTAAAGAGTAAAAAAAAAAAAAACACCAATCTGATCATCTATTTATTGTAAATAAGATCGATGTGTGTAAACTGTTTATTTTTTAATTTTTCTGATCATAAAATAGTTGTTTGTTTTGTTATAATAAAATATTCTTCTTTTCAATTCTTTTAGCTTGCGTCAGTTATAGTTGTTGTGCGAAAAAAGGATGGAAAAAAAACAGGATGTGAATTTGAATTTTTGTATATAAAAAAAAAAAAAAAAAAAAACCCTATGTATACTTCTGCGTAGATACGTAAAAATCACATATTGTGTAGTTCTTTTCTTAAAATTTTGCCAGCCGCACTTTTAGGAATTTTGTCGATGAACTGTACGTGTCCTATTTGTTTATAACTGGAGACCTGTTTGGCAACGAAATTTTTAACGTCATCCGAATTAACGGTAACTCCTTTTTTCGTTACTATAAAAGCTTTTGGAATTTCGCCATATTTGTCATGAGGAACGCCGATTACAGCAACGTCATCAATAACATCTAAACCTCTAATAATATCTTCCAATTCTGCAGGTGCTACTTGAAAACCTTTTACTTTGATCAATTCTTTGGTGCGTCCTTCGATGTATAAATATCCTAGGTAAAATTTCAAATTGATTCATATAATAATTAATATATAAGAGATATAAGATTATAATGATTATAATTTGTAATATCATTAATACCTGATTCATCATATTTTCCTACATCACCAGTTTTAATCCAATCACCATCCATAATCTCTTCAGTTGCTTGACGATTTTTATAATAACCTTTCATTACTTGAGGTCCTCTAACATAGATTTCTCCAGTTTCATTTGGTCCAACGTTAATACTTTGATCATCTTTGTATTGGACAATACGTACTTGTGTGTTAGGAACAGGATAACCCACCGAATTGCTAGGACCATTCTTACTTAATGATATTACTGGACCAGTTTCAGTCATACCGTACCTTTAAATATAGAAAAACAGACAAAACTTTGATTTATCTTTTTTTTTTTTTGAATCGTTATCACATTGATATATATATATATATTTACCCTTGCAAAAATGTGACCTTGTTGCTGATACGTTCATGAAATTTATTAATAGTATCTGTACCTATTGGTGCAGCTCCTGACACAACAGCCCTTACATTTTGTACATGCTTCGATGTAACATTTTCATTATTAACCATCATTTGTATGATCGGTGGTACCAAGTATAGTAATGTTGGTTTATAATTTTCAAGAAGTTTCATATAATTTTCTACTGAAAATTGTGGTAGACACACCAATCTGGCTCCTGCTCTGTAAATATTGAATTAGTCTATTATGTTTAGTTAATAAACAAATATATATATATGTATATATTTATATGGTGTATACCTAGTAGATATCTAATTTATGTTTTGAATGTTTAAAAAAATACATTTACCGTAAATAAGAACTCATAAGTGGTACTAAAGCATATATATGAAAAAAGGGTAGTACCATTGGTACAACATCGTGCATCGTTTCGGTAGCAGGTGTTAATAATGCAATTTCTGGACAACTTATTTGAAGTATATTTGCAACAATGTTCCTAAAAAAATTATAATATATATATATATATATATATAAATAATAAGACAATGAATGAAATAGTAGATAAATGTTTATTATAAAATGTAAAATAATTATTACAATTACCTATGAGATAATTGAACACCTTTAGGTAATCCAGTGGTACCACTAGAATATAATAAAAAAACATCATCCTCAGGATTAACACCAGTCTTATGATTTTTGGTAAATTCTTCGATATCTTCTTTCATGAAATCATTGAAATTGATCGTACCAGATGGTATTGATCCACTTCCATCGTTAACTATTATTATTGGTAATTTGATTTGCGAATTATTTTCTATACTTTTTTTTACAGTAGGATATATTAAAGGATTGGTAAAAATAGCCTTAGTTTCGGAATTTTCAATTTGTTTCATTATTTCCAAGCTGTTCCATGTAGGATTTAACGATGTTATCTAAAAATAATTCCAAAGAATTGTAAACAAAATAATATAACATTAATGTAGATGTGAAAATAATGTGAATATTATCATTGGAAAAGTTTGAATATATTTAAATCATTAATAGTATGTAATAGAATTAGTTTGATAATTAAACAATTAATGAATTATTTGAATATATTTCTAAACTTGATTTATGATGACATGTGATATGTGTGTTAACAATTATGAAGAAAAGTAGTATAAAACAAAAAAAAACAAAAAAGAGTATAAAAATGATAATTTACTTACACGAAGGCCAGCTTCAACCGCAGCGAATAAAATGATAGCATATTCAGGAATATTAGGTAAAATAATAGCTATTGTATCATGCTGTAAAAGTTTTGCTTTACGTAATGACATTGCCAATCGACCAACATGTTTTCTCAATTGTTGATAAGTATACGATCTGCCAGTGATTGCACATTCCTAGATAATTCATTAATTATTAGTAATTTTATCAAATATAATCGTGTCATTTAATACAAGTCTTGAAATTTTATCATTAAATTGTAAATCCAATTTTGAGATATTTATATTCGTGATAATCAAAGATTTATAAATAATTTGTTGTTGTTGTTGTTGTTGTTGTAAATTCGATTAAATAATTTACTTTTAATTTTGTAATTTTTTAATTACATACATAATAGAATTAATTAATATAATAATAGATAGGTTTAATCTTTTTTATTTTTTGTAATCTCTGAAACTACTTCATTTCTAGTCTTTTTGTTGTTGTTGCAATTCTAATTTTGGGACAGTATGAAAATATTATGAATAATATGAAAATATTATATATATTTTCTTTGTAGAATTTAAATTGTTCACCATTTGCGTTGAAGTACGGTGATAAGTGATAAATATTATCAAGTTAAAAAATAATTTCATATATATCTTTACTCGTAACGTTCTAACAAATTACCACAGTTCAAACGAATTCAAACGAATTCAAACGAGTATCAACTTGTATTGAATTAAATGTATCTTCTCAATTAATCGTGAGATCATATTTCTTTTTTTATTATAAGTAAATATAAATTGATAAAATAATGAATTTGATATAAAAATATATGAATTAATGAACAATCATAAAAAAAAATATCCGATAGAGACAGAGAGAGAGAGAGTTTGACCGTTTGAAGAATTGATGACATAAATCATTGCTAATGCATAAAAAAATCAGAATACAAAATTCGCATTGTGATTTTATAATCACGCAAAATGTATTTTCAACGTAATCTTGGACTTTTGTACAATGTTTAATAATTCTAAAAGAATGAGGAAAATTATTCCGACATTATTTGAATCATTCATCAAAATTTAATCTTGAGTCCAAAGTTTCAAATAGATAAAGGAAACAAAAGTGTAACTTCATATTTGCATTTACAAATAAATTGTTATAGTATATATATATTTTTTTTTAATAGTTAGGAACATATATATATATATATTTCCTTGTATTTTTTATTATTTATATTAATTAAAATTGTCGATTTAAATAAATATTCACATTTTCTTCATTTTTTTAATTAAATCTTGTATCGTGTTATGTAATTGTCTTGTTGCTAAACAACAGCCAACTATGTTAAATTAGAAAGTGGCATAAGTTATCACCGATGGCATTTAGGTGATCTTATTGTTAGTTGCATTATACTTTAGTAGTACACTTTTAACCAGTTGTCACGTTCAATGATTCATAGTACGTATTTGAATAAAATTTCAATGACAAACATACGTCTTTATTTGCATAAGGAAAAACAAAATCATATCGTAAATTAGATATGTAATATAGATTAACACGTTCACGTCAGCGCGTACCACCGGTGGCCCGCACTAGACTGTCTCATCGGACGGCTTGTACCACCGGTGGCCCGCACTAGACTGTCNGTACCACCGGTGGCCCGCACTAGACTGTCTCATCGGACGGCTTGTACCACCGGTGGCCCGCACTAGACTGTCCCGTCGAGCGGCGCGTACCACCGGTGGTCCACCGTTGGTCCAAGTTTGAACAAGCAAAAATCACGCGCCGCCAGATGAAGCGCATCTTAGATTCGAGTGCCGTCCCAGCAGACACTGAAAATCGGCGCCGGCGTCGGCGTCAACGTGTTAAATAGAAATTTATATCTAAATATATAAATAAATATATAATAATTATAAAATAGAAATAAAAAATGTCTCGTAACGAATTTATATATTTTTTTCTCATTTTCCAACGAGAAAGTGTTTCATGGTTTTTCTATTTTTACTTGAATACAAAATATGGGGAAATAAGGTATGATGAAAGTGGTTCTTTCGTCACAGTAAAAATGTAGAAAGTAGTTTGAATTATTTCATAAATATTTTGTCGACTGTAGTACCTTCGAATCAAAATCCTTTCTATTTTTAGATAGATTAAATTTACATATTTTATATATTTATAATTTTATTTTGTTCGTATTAGTGTTTTATGAGATTTTTGTTTGCGACATGTAATAGTTATGAATCATTTGGTAGTATCGTTTAATAATGTTTTTTTTTTTAACAACATTTTAAAAACCTTCAAATTGTATTTTTATCGTATTATAATTTTATTTCGATGTGTTCATAATTTATTTGTTTGCTTATCAAGGTATTTCATTTTTTTTCCTCAATCATCAAAATTTGTAATTTCGATAACGTTTTTTTTTTTTTTTTTTTTTTCTAACGATAATTGTGTCTTTAAATAATTGCAATATTATTTAATTAATATTTAATTATTAACTGTAACATTTATTTTATATATTTTTTTTATTTTATTTTATTTTATTATTACATTATTTAATTAATATTATTATTTTTTTAATATTTTGTTATTATATTATTAACATTTGTCGAATACTTTTCAACAAGTTTTACTTCTTTTTTTTTTTTTTATATTTAATTAATTAATTAATAATCATTTTCTAAATTTTGATACACAACAGTTGTTTTATTTGATACTTGTAATATTATATTGTGGCTTGTTCTATCGTGTTTATAATAATAAAATACATAGAGATTAACAACAACAACAACAACAACAACAAAACTAAAATTGCATCCCACTTAATCATTTTTTTTTTTTAATTAGAGGACATTGATATAAGAAATGATTTTTTTTTTTATATGTCTCTCGTAATTATACAGAACGTGGTTTAGAAAAGACAGATTATTATTACTTCGACGATAATTATAATTGTACGACAGAAAATCGTAGATGGAAGAAAAGAAAAAAAAAAAAAATAGGTAAATACAGAAGAGTACGAGTTATCTCAATATATACATATACATATATATATACAGAATAAATCATGTGATGTATTTAACAATGATTATGTTACCATGTTGTTGTTAAATGTTTCAGTTAAATTACTTTATAATGAAAATATATTTATACAAATGTATATTCATTCATTTCATTTCATTTGTATTAACAATATAAATATTTCCAATAAAAATAATATAAAATAAATAATACGAAAGAAAAATAAACTATCAAAATATAAATAATAAAATTCATTAATATATGTATATATTTTTATCTATTCAAATTTGTAAATAGATAAAAATACATTTCCGTTTTAAAATGAATAAATAGAAGATAATATCTTATCTGTGACTTGAGACATGTTGGAGATAATACAAATGTCAATAATAAATTGAGATTTGATGATAGTCAAAAAAAAAAAATAAATAAATAATGCATTAAGTATTATTACATCGGGAATAGATTTAAAATTAACATTTTAACGTAACAACTTGAAAAATACTTTTTAATTAATAAATAATATCATGTGAAGTATCAGTACACACGAAACATTTGTTATGAATGCGTACAATTATAATAAATTAATATTTTACACAATTTTTAATACAAACAAAATGTCAATGCATATATTACATTTTCAAATGAAAATTCAGTTACTTTTGTTTTTATACAAAACACCTACGTGTGTGTGTTAAAATATATATTTAATTTTAACACACATATAAATATATAAATTATTGTTTACCTTGAATTATTTTTAAATTCACGTATTATATAGAAATTACAAGTTAGTTTTATTGCACACTGTGTATAAATTCAATTGCATCATTTTTCGTGTATATATATATATATATAAATGCAAACGCATACAATTCTGAGAAGACAAACGTCATGAATGAAATTTAAACTCAGTAAGGTGAGGTGTGGTGAGGTGAGGTGAGGTAGTTGATGATGGAAGAAAATGTAATTGATATTAAAAAAAAAAAAAAAAGAAAAATGAAATGATAAATACTCACTATTGCAATATTGTTCGGCCATTTGTTTACATCTTGAAAAATAGTTTCGTGCAACAGTGCATTTTCGTATCCATGTATATTCATGAACGGACTATTTAAAATATTATCACGTGTATTATTTGTTTTCAATTGTCTTTGTTCATTCGATGAACGATAATAAGAAAGTAATCTCGTTAAATGTGTTTTATCATAATAGTAATGATATAATTTATCAATAGATCGAAATAAATTAGCGCCTATTATTCGTCTTGAAAATAACGAACGATACATCGACATGATTTGTATGTTTTTTTTTTTTTTTTTTTTTTTTAAATTTATTTTATAATAAAATAATAATAAAAGCACACAACAGCACAAAATTTAACGTAACGATTTGTTTTTGTTTTTATATTATTAAAATAGTTTTTTTTTTTTTTAAATTTCTATTTATTTTCTTTGAAATATATATTTCATTTGTTAATTAATTTTTTTTCTTTTTTTTTTTTTGTTTCAAATTTTATTTGATTATTATTATTATTATTATTATTATTATTAACACTCACGAGAAAAACTACTACGTCATTACTATACACGTTATACTACTTCTTCAACTGACTTATGAACAACAAATGACAATTCATCTGACTTACGTTCGAAGCGTAGTGTGCGACTTGAGCGACAGGTTACATCTAATTTGAACTAAGAGATGGCGCTTATGGCAGTGACGACAGTGATAATAATAAATGAATGCGTTGTGTTCATCATTATACGATTCACAAGAATTTGGAACTATTAAGATAAGATATTTGTTTGTTTTTTTTACTTTTCTTTTCACATTTTTTGTTGTTGTAAATATTACTTGGATAAATATGTCATTATATATAGCTTAGAAAAAGAAAAAAACACTATCAATTTCTCTCATTTTATTTTGTTTCAAATATCTATCATTTACGAGATAAACGCTGACTATGAACTAATCTATGAACTAATCTATGAACATCCTGTATATATTATACAAAAATAATGATTAATTTTAGAGAATTTGTTTTTTGTTTTTGTTTTTTTTTTTTTTTTGAAAAAGTTTCAGTAACAAAATAAATAACACGACAAAAATTATTCCGTTTTTTATGCGCAATAAGAATGAAACATTTGAAAAACATACACAAAAAAAAAACAAAAAAACTTCGAAGAGTTGTGTGTGTTAATTCGCATGAATTTGTATGTATTTTTCAAATGAGATTTGAGTTCATTAAAATAAATTAAGAATTATATCCAGTGTCTTCATACTGCTTGCGTAAATGCTTTCTTTCTTTTTTTTTTTTTTTTTTTTTTAAAGTATAATCGTTGAAATGCAAATTTTTATACAGCGACAAATATACATTCAAATATACAACACACTATGCACTAATGTTATACGAAATAAATAAAGTAATTATATTGTTTGCAATTGTATTTTAAAAAAAAAAAAAAAAAGAAAGAAAAAATTCAAAAGAAAAAAGTTGTGTTAAGGTTGCATCAAAAAGCTGCATCAAGTTTTGTCAGGTTTTGTCAGGGCTGGTTTAGGTTGTGACAGATTTCGTCATGGGCTGCCTTAGGTTGTGTCAGATTTTGTCATGGGCTGTCTTAGGTTGTTTCAGGTTTCGTCATGGCCTGCTATAGTTTGTGTCAGATTTCGTTAGGGGCTGCCTTAGGTTGTGACAGGTTTCGTCATTGGCTGCTTTAGGTTGTGTCAGGTTTTGTCATGTGCTGCTTTAGTTTGTGACAGACTTTGTCAGGGGTTGCTGTCGATTGTGACAAGCTTCGTCAGGAGTTGCTTTAGGTTTTGACAGGTTTCTTAATGGGCTGCTTTTGGTTGTGACAGGTTTTGTTAGTGGATGCTTTAGGTTGTGACAGGTTTCGTTATGTGCTGCTGTAGATTGTGTCAGGTCTCGTCAGGGGCTGCTGTAGGTTATGACAGGCTTTGTCAGGGGCTGCTTTAGGTTGTGTCAGGCTTTGTCAGGGGCTGCTTTAGGTTGTGTCAGGTTTTTTCATGTGCTGCTTTAGTTTGTGACAGGCTTTGTCAGGGGTTGCTGTAGATTGTGACAGGCTTTGTTAGGAGCTGCTTTAGGTTTTTACAGGTTTCGTCATGGGCGTCTTTAGGTTTTGACAGGTTCTTTCAGGGCTGCCTTAAGGTTACGTCAGGTTTTGTCAGACTTTTTAAATTCCTTTTTAATTTCCTATTTTTGAAAGTGGTCTAATGTAAATCAAAATTATTATAAATTGAGCTTATCAGTTATTACGCACCACATTTAGCAAGGTTTATTGATGTAATTGATAATACGACAAATTCGAAATGGGAATACGTAAAATTTGCAAAATATATATATATATATAAAATGATTATTATAATATTTTTTAAATAGTCTGACAAAGTATGAGAAAAAATCTGAGAGAAATTAGGTAAGATAATAAAAATAATGAAATGATTTTTTTTTGAGTAGGCTTGTTTTCTCTAGAAAATAAAAATAGATAAAAAAAATAGTATAGAAAAAAAATAAAAGTTATGTAAATATATGAAAAAGGTTAAAGAAGGAGATATGTGTGCATATGATCTATATATAAATACCGATTTGTTTTCGTTGTATGCAAAAGAGCCTATATAGTCTAAAGGAAGCCACGTTAAGTCGTTATGCGAAGGTCGAGGGTACATTTAACGAGGACAAAAGAAGGGAAAGGGAAAACCTTCGTTGTGTGTTACACCCATAACTGTGTTAAGGTGACTGAGAAAGTATGAGAAATATATAAATCCTACCTTATAAACCTACTACTACTACTACTACTACTACTACTACTATTTACTCATAATGCACGCGATTTATCAATTTTCTCTATTATCCTTAAAAAGTAAAACCATACTTAATTAAGATAAATTTCAATACGTTACATATTTGTCATTTAAACAAAAACAAAAAAAAAATAAAAAAGAACAAAAAAATTAGAAGAAAATATATTTTTTGAAGGATAAAAATGATTTCATTTCATTATTTAATGCAATCAGATTGAAAAAGTAACAAATGAGAATTGAATAAATTGTTAAGTGTCGAATGAATATGACTCGATTATAAATTGATAAGGTTCAAAGGTTAACTGATAGAATTATTTAACTATGAGTAATGTTTACAACGTGTTAAACGAACAATATGTATAATTAAAAAATCTTTTACAAATTTATAGTATGTACTGTGAGAGTATTTCGATTAATTTACAAAATATACTTTAATTGCTATTATTTAGAAAAGGTAGTCGTAGTTGGTAGGTGTTGGTAAATGATCCAAAGCTATTTCAATTAAATTTAAAAATGCTTACACAAGCATTATTAACAAATACCGATCAATCTATAAAATATACTTAGGTTAATTATCTTTAAAATTGGAAGAGGTGTAGTTTATGCTAAAAGTGAAACAAACTATGACAAATTTAAACAAAAATTACAGATAATCAACAAAAATAATTTAAGATAGTCAAATTAATTGTCAAATAATTCATATTAATTACTAAATAAGATAAAATATGTCAGAAAAATAAAATACAAAATTAAACTTCTCTACGGTGACTCAATAGAATGCATTGCAATATACCGTCTTATGTAATACACAAAGTGTTAATACGTTTACATCATGTAAAATGAAAAGAAAAAAAAAGAAAAAAAATAGTATCGTTTTAAAGGATAGATATAAATCAAGATAAAATGGAGTATAGAAGAAGGAGGGCAGGAGAATGCCAAAAGGATAAAATCTATGCTCAACTCCGAGTGAACTCGATGTGATATAATCGTTATTTAGGGTAGTAGAAAGGTTCTCTTGTGCGCATTCGGTAATTACCGAGAGTAATTAAAATGTCTCAACTCTCGTCAATGTAGCTATTAATATAACCTAAGAGTTTCATACGTACTCCTATACTCTGTATATCTAAATTTACAAATATATATATAGAAATATATATATTATACTAATATTTATATAATATTATAGGGGTGGCTTGCCACGCGTTGCTGTGGCTCACAATCAGTCCGATACACACGTCTTTAAGTCAACGAATTACTTTATATCGCCTTATTGCAATTATAAATTGAGATATAAACTATCCTATCTTTCAAGTTGGATGAAACTGCATACAGTGTGCAAAATTTGATTAAAATCGGTTCAATAGTTTAGGAGTCCATTGCGGACAAACAACGTGACACGTAATTTATATATATTATAAGACTATTATTATATTATAATACTATAATTATATTAATATATATATATTATACTCTCTCTCTCTCTTTCTAATATATTATATATATATAATATATATTTATTTATTAATTAATTTACTTTTATTATTACTTGATGTATTTAATTTTTTTTTTTCTTAATATCATTCCATAGTTGTTTATTATCGAATCATTCGAGTTATTTAAATTTTGATCAAAATGAACAACTTTGAATAATTGTTCAAAACTTTGAAATAAATGTTACACATCAAACAAACAAAAAGAATTTCTMTATTAATTATACAGGGATGTAATAACTATTTATGATTAGTTTATTTTGCATACAATGTGAACATGGATTATTTTGAACAACTTTGTCTACTTTTTTTGTTCCACATTATAGATTATATTTCTATATATATATGTATATGTTGTGAAATTATATGTAGTGTGTTAGAAGTGGATTATATGTGTGTATGTATCTATATATTTATACATACGTAGGTTGAGTCACGTTGATTCTGGTAAACTAATTGCAAGACGGGTCCCTGGCTGCACGGGCTGCGAATTAATTAATGGCATACGAAATAACTAACGTGTCAGGAAGCTTAAAGGTCATAGCCCGATGAGTACTAACATCAGAAGAAATTACTTAATCGTATAACGGATAATCATATGTTTTATCTTCTCTTGAAATAACTTTTTGTTACAAATAATTTTTTAATTTTTTTTTTTTTTTTTAATTTTTTTTTTTATCATCATTGTCAAATAGAACTACACATGAGTGTATCTTTAAATAGTATATAGTGTAATTATATAGTATATTATAATACAAGGTCAGTTATCTAACGTGTTAGTATCTCAAATATATCTTAATTGTTTTAAACTTGTGTCAAATGGTTTCTTTTTTTTTTCTTTTTTTTTTTCTTTTTCTTGCTCCTACGATGATAAAAATATTTTGTTCACTTTTTATATCAATTTTTTTATATTTTTTTTTTTTTTTAAATATATCTAAGTCACCTTCATTTTAAATTGTTTCTTTTTCTTGTTTTGAAACATTTTTGCATCACAATTGCACAAGATTGAAATTTTATTGTCACGT